GCCGAGCCGGCGACCCGCGGGCTTTTGTTCCCCGGAGCGTGTGGCCGGACGGCCGCCGGCGGAGGCGCGGGCCCCGGGCGCCGCCGGCAGGTGGAAAGAAGTCCGAAAGTCCCGGGCGGAGCGGATTTTCCAAAAGAGCCCCTGGCACTGCGTGTTGACTTTAAAAAAATGTGCATGCCTCTTGCCTTCTTTTCCTCCTTTTGGCGTGTGGGGGAAGGGGTCTGAGCCTATTCGGAGCTCCATCACGTGATTTGTTTGGGTTTTGTCTATTCCCTTTGCTTGTGCAAAACGCAATGATCATGCAGTATTCCCTGGGATGATATAAATAAGGGGTATTATTTCGGACACACACACACCACAATAGTTTTAGAATGTGGACCCAATCTAGCTGCCCCGGTGAGATTTGAAATGCATATTCTAGTTTTTATTGAGACCCTAAACATTGTATATCACATTAAAGACTATGTCCTGATGAAATCTAACTATTAGTAGATTTAAATCTTTTTTAGCAGAACTAAAATCACTTGCCACCTAAGCCAAGTACACGTTTTTAATTCCCATTATTATTTCTATGTAACTATGCCACATGTCTTCACTCTTACGAGTTAGTCTTAACAATGCTGTCAGGAAACCAGCGCAGAATATGTATTTTCATTTCACAGACAAAGAATTTGTAGCTGGCAAATACCCTTACTGGCCAGAGGAAATTAACCTTCACATAGCTGTTGGATCCTTAAACCATTTTGCATTCAGCTGATGTAAGTTAAAAGATCAGAAAACCAAGACAGGATAACAATACAAATATCATTTATTTTCTGAAAATACATTTATTTTTTACTATAGGCAGGGGTAGAATATGAGATGTGGAGAAAGTCGTGGGGGACATTTTACATCTTTTCATGTTTAGGCCAACCAGACTGTATCTTCTGTTTATTCGCCAAAAGATTTTGAAGTCTGTCATTTTAAGAAGTCTCTTTATGTTCAAACTCTCTCTCATGGAGAATGTGTTCAGAACATAGAAACACAATCCATGTTCACACACCTGTGCCATACTGAATATTACTTGGAAAATAAACAAAGACAAACACTGCATATGCTCTAAATGTTAGGTCTAACAGGATATGTTCAATGTGACCATAAGATTTTAACTTTATTTTCAACATTTAGCATAAACATGAATTTATTATGTCACGGAAATGAAATGTCATCGAGGTTATCTGTTGTTAAAAGAGCTTCCATTCTAAAGAAAAGGGCATCTATTTTAAGCAAGAAAAGTTCTAAATTACCCTTGTCTGTTGTGGCAAAATAAATCAATCAATAAAATAGAAATAATTTTTAAAAGTTCTCAATTAATTTGACAAAGTACTTCAGCTGCTTTTAAGGAGAAAATGACAATTATAATTGTAAAAGTACAATAAACATAAGTTTAAAATTGAGGAAAAAGTGTGAGAAAATCTTTCATAGGACAGATTAACCATCAAATTACTCAAAGTTGTAAACGTTTAATCTATGAAAGAAGAAAGGAAGAAAGGGAAAAAAGAAAAGAGAAAGACAAAATTGAAAAAACATTTTCTTCTTCTTATGAAAGTGCCTGAGAGACACCTTATTTTTGATTTTACCAAAAAGTAGGTCTTTTTTTTTCTTTTTTAATTTTACTTTTTTAAATTTTAAAGATGTGGGGTACAATTCAGGGTTAGGTATAGAAATGTTGATGAGGTGTGCCCCTCCCTCCCCTAGCAGTTTCCCTGGTCTGCCAATCCTACCTCCCCTCCCCCCCTTTTCCCTTAACTAATTGTTATAATAATCTCAAGGATTGTAAATATTGTTAGTAAACATATACGCATTATCTTCCCTAGACTATTTGCGTTATTAAAGACAAAAATATCTCTATATTAACAATTTGAAATAATAAATTCAATTAAGAAGCAAGTATATTTGATATATAAAATGACACAGTTCTGAGATTAAGTACAACTATTTTGATGTGTTCTTGTGAAACACTATATTCTCCTACAAGATTGGAGGTAGTTTATCAGGAAAGACAACTTGTCTGCAACCAAATGTAAGAGAAATGTTTCCTGCCCATTTCTTTTTCCCTAACACGGTTGCTAATGCCTTATTCTATAAAAATAACTATAAAGTTCTTCTTAAAATATATATCTATATATGAACTAGTGAGATCCAGAAATAAAATGCTACCATCTCTTTGCTTGTTTTCTTGCCCTCTGAATTAGGTTTTGATCATTATTTTTCTGTTTAAAAATTTAAATATTTTCTCCCTAAACCTCATAAATAGGAATGTTTATCTAAATATGCTCCTTCATCAGGTATAATGCAATCTGAATTCATTCCATGTGTTCCTTTGGTATCTTATTTATATTATGTGTATTTTTTATATATTCCACATTAGTTAACTTTTTATCCCCAAATACTATTTCTTTGTGATGTCTGCAGTCTTTGACATAAGCGTTTAGAGCTATTGATCCACCCAAGAGCTAAACTAGAGAAGGAGTGTCTTTCAGCTTTGTGGCTATGGCCTATATCCTTTCTCCCTCCCAAGGCTTTGAAAATATTTTTTAAAAATTTGAACTTGAACTTAAAGGGAATCTCCATTTTTCACTCCCATCGGCTCATGGGAGTGAAATGGCTTTCCATATCACACCTTCAAAATTTGCCCTAAGCTGAGGCTTAAGTGTCAAATGTAAACTTAAGATTTTTCTGAATAATTAGAAGACGAAAAATTAGGCGCTTTCTTTAGAAATAGCCTTTAAAATATTTAAAGTATCCATCTAAAGAATTGGAAGATAATCCTTGTGTATCCAATAAGACAAATTCTATTTCTTTACCTTTCTTGCAGGCATCTCCCTGGATTAGATGAGCTGTGTATGCTTTTTCATCCATGTCCCCAGAGGTGCATCCTACTGTGCTCTTGAACACTCCCTTTGGAGATGATCAAAGCTATATAAGAGAGAATAATATTCAGGGTATGGAGAAATGTGTTCATTCACAATCTCATGTCTCTTCTTACTTGGGGAGATGAAAGGAAATATTATAGAGTCACCAAATGTTGAAGCAATATGCAAAAAATCCACCAAAGAAAATGAGAGTGCTAATTCTTATTGACAAAAGATGAGTTTTTTAAATGTGTTTTCCACTGAATTATATACAAGCCTACTAGACTGGCCTGGTAGATTTACTGGTATCGGTATCTCCATGTTGCAATTTTAAAGGTACGAGAGAGCCAAGGACACATGATAATAAGAGGAAGCAACATGAATAATATCTCTTGCTATACATGTACACGATGCCTTCACAACATATGTGGATTTCAGAATGAAGTAGAGTTTAGTAAACCACTCATTCCACATGTAGGGAACCCGTCATAGCCAATCACATGCGTCTCAAAAGCAGATCCTTACTTCTTCAAGATCTAAAGAGCTACAATGCTTCAAATGGAGGGAGGAGAAGATTAAATGTCGTGAAAGAATCAAAGAAAGTTGTTGTTCATGCCCTTACTTCTACAAATTATACTGAGAAAGTGACCACATAAAACAAAATTAATTTCACCCAAACTCTTTCCTAGATACCAGGAAAAATGTCATCCAAAATTCTGAACCTTGGGCTAGTCCTCATGTCTCCCCAACACAACTTTTCATTGTCTCATATCTTGTGTATAAAGCAAACGATTGGTAGATAAAGAATAACAGCTAGTCATTGGAAGTGATGAAACACTTTAAATAGGCCACATGGCCTACGTGGACACTGCCCATTATATGGTTATTGTCATTTTAATCTTCCAGATGGCATTTATCCTTTGGTATTTTCCTTGTATATATGGCTAAGATAGAAACTATTTAGATATGACTTTATTCAGTGAAACTCTATGTTACTTTGTAATTTAGGTTCACAAAGTTAGACCTCAAATTATTCATGGGGTTATGTTATGCCATTTTAAAAACGTAATGTCTGCCCTAGAGGCAACCTCTGGAAGAGGCAGAGGGAAGCTTCGTGTTTTTTTGTGCAAGTGAATATCACAATCTGCCTAGACGCCCTCTACAAAACTCATGACCCTTACATTCATTTTTATTTTACGAGAAATTTACATGGACTCATAATCAAAGATCAGTTGTGTCTTTTAATTTCTTTATTCATAAATATCATGTGCCCATATCACAGCAAAAATAAAAAAAAAATTAAAAATTCTTCAGTTAGATGCCACTAGATAAGAAAAGCTGAGGACGTCTCAGAAATATTTCCTCCTGCTTCAACATTATGCTGCAGTTAAAGCTTAGGATTTGTGATATTTATTAATTTCAATTTGTGCTTTCTCACTGAAAATCTTGTGATTTTGGTAAGGCATAAATAACTACCTTCTACCTCTATTTTTGTGTAACATAATTATTTGAAGAAAAAACAAGAATATAAGAAAAACAGTAATTTTTGGTAGAGTCTATAATTTCTAGGTTTGTCAATAGTTCTATGCCTCTATTGAATGAAAGTAATAATAATTTGCAATTTGAATGAAAGTAAATAATAATGCTTTTGAAAATATTTCAAGAAACAACAACATATAAAAATTTTGCTATCTTTACATTGTTAAATATATATGTTTCTAAATTAAAAGTAGTTTTGAGTATTATCCACTTGAGATCAGTTTTTCTCTCAGTATTTATTGTCAATATATTCTTAAGCAAGTGACTTATCCTTCCTAGACCTCAGTTTGTGTTTTATACTTTATGCAGATATAGTGAAATAATATATGCAAATGCTTGATCATGGTATCAGGTATATAGCAAGTGGCTCAATAAAAGCTGATATATTTTTATTGTAATTTATTCCTATCTTTGACTTGTGAACCTGAGGCTTTGTAAATTTCAGACAAAATGGAAAGGGAAGTATTAATTACTAAGCGTTATGATGATCTTTTTAGAAGGAATGTGTGGGCATTTTTTGAGCTTCACCCAAGGCAAACTTTGGTAATCATACTTTGTTGGTACTGGAGGAATGAAGAAATACTATTTGAGAGAAAGACTGAAATCAGTTCAAAACAGGAAGACTACACAAAAAATACACTAGGGAGGTTTAAGACTGCACACATGAGTGTTATAATAAGAGAGGCAGGGCGACAGTCTGGAGTTCTATATCTGATTTAGTCACATTCTGGAAGATAAATTTGGGGGAATGGGCTTTGGTATGACTCCAGTGTTTGTGAAGGTGTTACCCACCCTCATGTAAACTAAGCC